ACAGTTCGACATCTTACTCGGTACTTACTTGTTTGCGGGTTTATTAAATATTTACGAATGCAAAACAGTATTCGCCTAATGAAATAGATCTACTTATATTTATTACTTTACAAATCAAATACATCGATGTTCACATTGTCAATGTTAGGTTATTATCCGCCTTTAACTGACATAGGTTTTACTATTGGCATTTAGTCATATAACTAGGGTAAATGTTAGCAGGTATAATGCACACGAACACGCTAGAGGTAATGTACAAATTTCAGTGAAGTTATCCTTCGACCACAACAGTCGTGTATGCTATGACATAGTATTGCATCAAATGAAATATTACACACAAACTTTAATCCGTGGCATATGGTGGCCAAGACAAGAAGGTGCCACAGTTTCACACAAATAGTCGAATGCGAACCGACAAAACTGTAATAGTTTTTCATACTCTTCTGAACAATATATTAAACATGATTGCCCCTACATTTGCAACATATATACATTTTGTTGTTCAAGATTGTCCCACAGTTAATTTCGTGCTGTTTCCCCGACATTAACTGTTTTCACTGCCTTTCCTGACTGCCTTTCCCGAGCAGCTTGCACATATTCCATAAGAAATACATAGTACATGTGACATAGTTCCACACCGAGAATATATAATTTCGTTATTACAGTATGAACCAATGATATTTTTTTCTACAGGTCTGACTAAATAGCATAAAACTCAACGTTTCCACAGCCCACGTTTTTGGTATCTATCGGTGTCGGTAACTGAACTGTTGTGAAATTGAAAATTTATTAAGTGGAAGCAAAATTCAAAAAAATCATTTCGGATTGAACACTTTGCATTCAATTTATCTTACTTCACCATCATTATTTTCGGTCACTTCTTATAAGTATATTGTTGTGATGGAAATCACATACACGAATGGCTTCCAGATGCACTTTAGGGGGATGATTAACTTCAAAAGTGTGAATGTTAGTTTTGTTGTAATAAATAAAACAGCAACATATTTATGTTTTAGAAAACCTGTTCACCGTTTTCAAAGTTTGAATTTGACACTTTGCCCTAATCTCAGGTTCGCTAACGCATTATATAATAAAATAAAAAAAATGGTCACCATAAGCCACAGATTAACTGCAATTGAATGAAATTAATTTGCAATAGGAAAACACAGATTATTTGTACAGCGCGACAATACAACAATAGAACTTGGTCTGTGAAAGAATATATAATCATATTTGAAAGTTACTTTTAAAGTATTGAATGTGTTTCGACTAATGTAAAACCGCAATACCGATTACCTGTTCTTTTCGATACCTTCTCTGTGCAGATTTTGACCCCGATACCCGGGAAGTCTTAGGCGCGTGGGACTGAAAAGAAGATTTAATGGATTTCCACCCATTCGTGAATGGAGTAAACGTCTTCCATATACTGGCCCAAAACTGAAATAGTTGTAAAATGGTATTGTTAATACCAGTCAATAGACATAAAACAGTTACGTTTTCAGTATGGTGTATATAACAATGTGAGATTTTTCAACCGACATTATGTTCTTGCATTTTAGGTGCATTTGGTTTAGCGTAAGCATAATAATTCAACAAACAAGACACGAAGAAATAGTTGATACACCAGGAAAGAAATATTTGTCTTATACGTGATTTCAAAAGGTAAACAAATTATATGTTCAGAAAAGATAGATGTAATTATGTCCGAAACAAGAATGAGCATCTAGTAATGCTTATAAAATGGTATTTAAATGTATTTTGATAGAGATCAACATAGTGAGCACGAAAGCCGTTAACCAAGGTACTACCAGGACAACATTACAAGCAATTATACCGATTGCGTTTGTCAAAAATCAAAACAAAACATGGCAGGTTTTTCATAACAAAAAGAGTATTTGAATATTAAATTAACAATTCAAAATACATATCAATTTGTTTGTTTGGACATTTTGCAAAAGGTACTGCGTTATCTGGCGAGTATGCTTGTCATGCCAAACTATTTATCTAATTAAAGCACTACACAGAAAACAAAACAAGTAAGTACCGATTATGACACTGTAATACTGAAATAGCACCGATTTGACTAAACGTTGACATCAACTAAAACAAATTTGTATCTGATTGGCTTATATTGACAGGAACAGAGGAATACGTAGTGTCTTCTCTACTTTCTATTAGCTATCTAATATTTCATTATCGCACGTCAGTGCGAAGAATGATTTCTGTTCGTTGATTTAACCCGTATTTTATCGATTACCTGTCCCTGTCTTGACCCAGCCCTGTAGTCTTTAACGGCAGATTTCACTTGCAAAGTTTCAGTTGAAAGAATGTGAAAAGATGAGATGACGGATTTCAAGCCATTTGTGCAAGGAGTAAGCGACTTCCATACTTGTGTCCAGCACTAAAAATGATTACCAATTGATAAGAGGTGATAAGATTCGAATGATCATATGCATACTAATGAACCACATAGTGTCGGAACCATACAGTTAGTTGTATTTGTATTGGTTGTGTTTGATAAATGTTAAACATGTTTATATGTCCGAGAGTGACCACGTATTCTCTTACACTACTAACTTTATTCTTATTCATGAAGTACGATTTGAAAAAGTTGTCAGAATTCGTAGGAAGATACATAGTGCTGCCCCCTTGATTTTAACAGGATTGGCGCTCACTGGTATGTCCGATTTTGTTTTTCGGCAAGAAAGGCTGGTTATAATTTATGAATGGTTACCTATTATGTCGCATTTCTCATGTCTGTTTTGGATTTCATGTAAGCTTTCTGTGGTTTAGATATGACATAACGTGTGTTTATACGTTTGTTAGTCTGTATTGTGTTATTTTCTACTGTTATACTCACCGCAGTTGCCATTTCGAGTGCCCAAAGTTGAGTTAACCTATAAACAAAAAGAGCTACGTTTTAAGCTTATTTTTATAAAAATAATACATTTTACCAACGGGATCCATGAATGGTATGTTCATCTCTCCTATGATGTACTATTGTAATCAACATATAATGCAGGTTGGTTTTATTTTCACATAAACTTACCTAGATGACAATTTGCCAGTCGACTATTTGAATGAGAAGTTTGAGTGCATTTTTCGTAATGTAATATAACATTTTTATATTGATAGATAAACAAAATTTCATGAATGCAATCAACAAATTCGTTGGCGCTATGATATTTCAAATTCTATATTTGGCAGGCGCGTTCATGGTGATTATTTGTATCGTTAATGCAATACGAACCATCACCGTTTCAACCATTAATGTAAAAATGTAAAAATCAAATGAAAACGTAGTAACAAATAACAAATAACGTAATAAAAGAAATCGCCTGATATTTATATTTAGGTATTGTTATGTATGTATGTTACATCACTGGTTGCTACTCAGACTACTAGTTTCCATCCAAAGAATTGATTGTCGCAACCCAGGAATACTCGTGGTATTGTGATGTACATGTACGTTTCCTCCACCATTGGTGCAATCAAGAGGTACCCTACTAAAATATTTACTGAAACCCTGTTGTCTACCCCTATTGTTGATTTATAGAACAACGGTCAGGTGTACTTCGGTGGAATTTCTTATCTTTAGTGTTTTGTTGCAACTATGAACATCAATGTCTACATTTCGTTGTAGACAGTTCAACTCTGCGATACTTCTGTCTACCCCTAGTACAACCCGGGATACTCCTGTATATCGTTACTTATATCTGCCTCTAGTTGCACCCCCGAGTTACCTCCGTCTACACTAGGTAAAGACTGATGTAATCACGTTGGTAGTACTATTAAAGCCTAGTGTTGACTGATACAACAACGGGTTTCTTATGTGTCTTTGCGTTTATTGCCATTGCGTTTACTGTGTTGCGTTTACTTTGTTGCGTTTTACATGTATTATGTTAATTAGCTGTACACTATTTATTCTTATATACATTTAAGATCATAATTAGAAACCTTTGGAATATATGGAACTGCAACAGTCAATACGGTTAAACAGGAGTATTCTGGGGAACCGTCAACATGAAGAGTATACAGCAGTATTTTGTGGAACCAACACCCAACTTTAAAGACAGACATATTTCACAGATTACAACCGTCAACATCAAGGGTGAACAGAAGTATCCTGTTTTCAACAGTGGGTTGAACATCATGCAATACATAGTGTAGGCTAGACTCGTAGATGAACGACACATCACGGGAGGTCATTAGTATTAGTATATCGTGGTTACATCAGTCAACAAGAGGGGTAGAGAATCCAGGTACTGCATTAGTCAACACTATGACAGGAAAGGATTATTTCGTGTTTGCATCAGTCCTTTCTTGTACAACAGTTGTAGAAAGAGTATCTCAATAATTCAATGCCACGTAACAACAATTATTACATAAACGATCCGTATTACACTAAAACTTCGACATTAATAAACACGCATGCCTATATTGGGTCATTCCATGTGTCACAGTTAAAACTACAGATAATAGTTTATAACTGTAATAATCCGTAGACAATATATTTTTTCATGAAAACCAAAACAAATATTATTAAATTATAATATTCATTATTATTGGTCATGCTATTCGAGGTGACTGACCTGTGATGTTAGCGTAGGTTTACCGAAATTGAGTTGACATTACAACCAGCATATTTTCCAGCATAAATTTCGTTCTGCCCACCCATTTTTAATTCGGATGAAGTGATAAACCATGCATCACTCAATATTTTTATTATTAATTAGTTCAATATGATATTTGACAATGCAGCACGCATTTAAAAAATAATACAAAAACACAACATCCTAGTCAATAATTGACGTTTCGTTTAAACAAATAAAAAGCTAAAGGTATGTATCCAAATAAAAACTAATTATGGCTAAACTACCTCGCTATCCACGTACACCACGCCTTTTGCTATATGTGACTACAACGAAAAGGAACTAATTTTACATCATCATCTTTGCAATAACACTGCAACTAAACCAATCGAAAACCCTTTTAATTTACTTTCTACGCAAAATATCAATGCATGTGTTTGAAAGAGTATCCATGTTACTAAGTATGTTATTTTCGTCCAAAAAACTGCATCGACAACAGGAGTCTATTGCGGTCGTGTAATATTACATCCCGGTATACATACAAGTATAACAATTAAACGAGATGGGGGGAACGGAATTTTCATTTGTGGCGGTGGTCGTCGCGCAGCGCGTTTCAAAATTCCCTGTAAACAAACCATGTATTTTACATGCGTTGTATACGTCGCTGTGAGTCCATATCGAACAAGATGCGGCGCGTCGACCATTGCTCTTTAAACATTTTACCACATGTTACATATTATGCTACAGCAACTATTATAGTATCTATTTATTTCCCATTGTACGTATTATATTTTCCCAGCAGGAAGCGCATTCAATAAATAAAATGGCCGACGTCGGATCATGTTGATATATGGTTGAAAACTAGGACGTGCTCTATCTCACTTACACATTGAATGCTTTTTTTGTTCATCGCATTACGGGGAAATTATAGCACAATCTGAATACACCATACTGCAAACACTATTTTCTATATTATACTAAATTCTAATTACCTTATGTTGCATTCGAAGAAACAGTATCGTGACACAGCTGATATATCAGCGTCGGATTACAAATAATCTCTTAGTGGGAGAAACCATTTGTTCACACATATGCACCATGTCATGTCGATGTTGTGATGCGTCGCTAGGTATTTTTGAACAATCTGTATGACAATATATAATACATGAAACAATTTTTATGACCATGTATTCGTAAATTCCCTCGTTAATACAATGTTACATATCGATGCTCGCCGTGCAGTAAGCATTGGTATTTTGCAAAAACAACCAACTCACCTTGTTTACCTCTAACTGGTCTCGCATTGACAACGACCGGTCGCGAAGGTCACCATGCTGTAAATTGAAGCGTAATTACAATTATCATTTCTGATTCCAGGCGAAACCAATAAGTAGCATGCATTGGTGTGACGTGTATCTTTGATTACGTGTGTCATATTGATTAATGCTGGGTTTTTCAATGAGTAATTATTATTTCCTGTCGAGACCTCATGAACACATATTACACACAATCAAAATTGCTTATGTGCGTTGACGTAGCACATAAATACAGCGCTCGATATACCCATTTGATACACATACTCTTTCTGTTAGTGGCTATGCAAACTATGCGTAGCGATAAAAATGCAGTTTTGCCCTTTTCATGCTAACTTTAGTGTTTTATTTTAAATAATATTTGTATGACCCCTAGACTATCTACATAAATCCAAACACATAATTTGGAACTTTGTTCTATAACTTTTGCAAATCATCTTGCTTGCTTGAAAAGTTGAAGCATTTATCAACTCATTTGACGTGTAAATGTTAACACATCATATATAACTAAATTATAATTATTTAATGCTGAATTTTTACAATGCATTATGTTAATAAGGCGGTGATAATTTCAAACTGAACGTTATATACATATTAAATTCAATCTCAGGTAAAAGTGTGACCAATATCTCCCATGTAACAAGTTCATTCATTGAATCAAAAAGATAAATTTGAATGGATGACATGAATATAAACACATGAAAAAGTGTGCCATGTGTATTCCAAAATATAAATATTTACTGATGTAAATTAAATTCAACATAGTATCGAAATATTAGCAAGCATGAAAATGAAACGCAATTTCAAGCACAAGGCAGTTTTATGACCTATTGTTACCAGTGAGATTAGAATGAAATAGATCCCATCACAATACGAATAGTCCATAAACTAGACATTTACAATTTTACTAGCTATAAAGTGTTGTAAACAAGTTGGCTTAATAATACGTTAAATGTATCTTTTCCAACTGTATGTTCTTGTACCCAGTAGTTACAGTTACAGTTACAAGTTTGATGTTAGTAATGAATGCAAAACATAAAGATGTGTTAGTACCTTAGATGAGTTTGCTTAGAAATTTGTCACCTCATTCGTATTGTTCAATATTATGTTTTGCTAATTTGAATAATATAGCCTCCACAGTGGCATCACATTCTACCAAATTAGGAGATTTATTCACGTGATTTCGATATTTACGTATTTTTAGCTCATATTAAAGAAAGTTTAACTTGAAAAATAAAAACAATTGCAGTTACTGATTTGTTACGTTATAACGGATCATATTATATTATTTCCTGAGCGTAGTAATCTATCCTATATTTTCGTGTTGTAAATAAATATAATATAAGTTCTCACATCTAAGCTGCTATCTACAGTTCCTGCGATTTCTTGAAAATCAGTCAACCTGAAAATAAATGTTTATCAGAGCACACTTAAACATGAAACATGACATGAAGTGTCGCTATGAGTTTTCTTCGTCTGATAAACACTAATTCATTCAGATGAGTTATACGTAAGCATTGAATGATTGGCACATGGTTACAGTGACATTGCATTCCTTGGTACTTTCTTCCAAAGAAACTAGCACATCTTTTTACATCATAATACAGCACTTTGGCCATTTAATCAGACTCTTTGGTGCGGAATGTTTTACACTCTGCTGCAAACTTATTTCCTCATGCTTTTTTTTCAATTGTTTTTATACTTATACTAAATTGTGTTGAATATCCCCTTGTTGTGATATCGGCTGATATGACAGTCTATCCAGTAATTAAACATGCGTTTTACACACAATAAAAACAAAAACTTGTAAATGTCATGAAGGATTGAATACAAAATACAGTCTAGACGAAAGAGTGAAAAAAAGTTCGAATTTTTATTATGGCGAATACCATGTAAATCACAATATCATGAATATTCAGATAATCTACGCATGTGTCCGGTTTGGTAACTTGCATCCAGTGTCGGTC